CTACCCATGGATCCCTAAGTTCATACAAGTTGGTTTTGCCTTATCTTTCTGGGGCCCAGATCCCTATGCCACTAAGGAAGACCTTCCCGCCTTTAGGTATTGTCTTTCTGGATTAGAATACAAGGAACTTGAGGTCAGAGACTACCTCATTTGCTTGTATATATATATCCCCAGTGTTGAGCACAAAGATTGATATATAATATTAGTACATTAGTATATATTAATAATTATATATAATACATATTAATAATAGGATAGAATATATTGCATTATTAATAATATTATAATAAAATAATATAAAATAAAACTTGATAAATGCTCAATCTACCTGTCTAGTCTCCTCTGAGTCTTCTCTTCTCTACTCTAAGCATCCTTAATTCCTTCCATTTTGACCTTTATGATCTTATAGCTTTTCACCATTCTGGTGGCCCTCTTCTGGATATTCTCCAGTTGAGAACAAGCTGGATTGCCTCCAAAACATGTGACATTCCAAAAAGAGCCCAGATGTGGTCTGACCAGAGCTCAGAGGGACTATTAAATGTATCCCTATCATAACCACTAAGCTTCCCTTATGCAGTCTAAGAACTTAGCTTTCTTAGCTGCCATATCAAAACAGATGGCTCGTATCGAACCTGCAACATCCCCAGATTCTTTTCAGGTGAATTACTATCTATCCAGGCCTCCCCCACCTTGTATTCAAAGCTGGTTTTGCACCCAAATGTAAGACTTTACATTTAGCTCTTCCTCACTTTAACTTTTTTTAAATTTAGTATAATGACTAGCTTGTCATGATTGCATTTGATTCAATATGATAGCCAACTCTCTTAGAGAGTTTGATAAAGATACCTTCTATGCCCTGCAGTTATCTAAATCACTGATAAGAAGTGTTTAACTGCACAGAACCAAGGATAAATTTTCAGGTCAGTCCTAAAAGACTGCCTTCTAAGTTGTCATCAAACCACTAATGAGTGTGCTCTGGATCCAGCCATTCTTTCCACAAGGATGGCATTAGAGACTTTCTCAATTGTTTCTCTGGCACCTGAACTGACTCTCTATAATTACCCAGACAGAAAAAAAAAAAAGGAAATGAGGTTAGTCTGGCATGACCAGTTCTTGATAGGAACACTACTTTCTTTTCTGAATGTTCACTGACTTATCTGTCCAATAATGGATTCTAGAATTTTGCCAGGAATCAAAGCCAAGATGACTGGGCCTATATAGTCTGTTTCCTTTAACATTCTACCTTCTCCAGGCCTGTGCATGTCTCCTGTTTTCCACAATCCTTTAAAGATCACTGATGGGGTTCAGTGACCACATAGCACCCTAGGCTATAGTTCACTTGGGGTTGGTGATTTGAACTTCATTAATGGCGGCTCAGAGCTCTATTAGTACGTCCCCTATTTATCTTGTGTTTCAACACCCCCCCAAAATTAGGTCTTTTTGGTTCTTTCCCCTCATTCAAGGTATATCCTTAGCAGAGAAAACAAGAAAAATGAGCAATTCTATAATTCTGGGTTCTGACTGCTGTCAGTCACCATTGTCTTATCCACCCCAGCCAATAGTCCTGCCTTTACTTTGATCTCCTTGTTTTCACTAATTACACTTTTTTAAAAATCCCCCTTTCTTGGTTGTCCTTCCTCTACTATCCTTGTCACTTTAACTTATTCTACACCTATCAGGCTGAATGGGCAAGAAGATAACTTGCATTTGTATATCTGGTGCATAATACAGCGCCTGACCCATAGTAGATGCTCATAAATGCTTGTTAATTGGCTCATTGAAGTAGTGATCATAGAATCACAGGATTTAGAGAGCAAAGAGCTGTAACTATGTGATATTTAACTTCTGCATTCTTCAAAGCAGAAAACCAAAAGTCAGAAAAGTTAGGCTACTTTCAATAATGAACAGTGACAGATGAAGAGAATTGCATTGATGTGGGCACAATAAAGGTGATGGAGAGTTTTGGATGAAAAGCAAGGGACACTATGGTGTGAGGTAGAGGAGTTCTTATAGGGGAGTGATTGGTTGAGGGGATATAGCATGGAATAACATCAGGGTCATCCATGGTATCAGTCTTGGGTCTTTTCCCCTTTTATCACCATTGTGGTATGAGAGATGTTCATAGGCATTCGCCTGATGTGATTGCTGAGCCCATAAACACAGCAGATACCAGTGTGGGAAACCATGCAGTAAAGCCACGATCTCAGCTCTAGCCTTCTACAACTTCTCCGAATTGTATCAGCTGAGCTTGCTCTTGGTTCCCATCCCAAAAGAAGAGTGCCTGGTTCAAAGTTTGGGGAACATCTGACAACCTCATTCATCCCTCTGCCATTGGTAGGAGATGGAGTCTGAGAAAACATTTAGTACAACAATTATAATAGTAACTACCATTGATATAATGCCTTTAGTTCTGCAACCTTTACAAATGTTAACTCTTATCCATTGCACCACCTAGCTGCCTAGCATGGGACAGGTCCCTCAATCTTTGATAACAAATATATCTGAAAGCAAAGAACAGCTTACATTTATATGAACTTTACCATTTATGAAACACTTTCTGCCCAACCACCTTGTGAGATAGATGATTTTCTTTCACATTTAAAAATATGTTTAATTGCTATCTTTTGTTTTTTTGTCACTTTTCCTCTGTATTCCCCTTCCCAAAGATCCATCCTCTATATCAAAGATTAAAAAAAAGAGGAAGAGAATATTAGCCAAACCAACCGATCTATTAAAAGTCCACTACTGAATCAATGTTCCATACCCATAGATCCAGCACCTTTGAAAAGGAATTGGGAGAGATGTCTTCTCCTGTCTTTTCTTTGGGGCTCATATTTCTTCTTTCTAATTTCTCAACATTCATTTTAGATTGTTCTGTAGTTTGTTTTTCCCATTGTTTAACTCAATGACTGGTAACTACCTTGATTTACATTAATTACTACCATAAAAAGTGGTATATAGAAAGCCTATATATTTTGTTAATGACATCCTTAGGGTATATGCCTAGCAGCATAATCTCTGGATCAAAGCAGATGGATATTTTAGACACTTGTATAGTTCCAAATTACTTTCCAGAATGTTCTACTAATTCAGACCTTCAACCAAAATACACTAGTGTGCCTATATTTCTACAACCTTCCAACACTGACCATTCTCATCTTTTGTCATCTTGGCTAATTTGCAGTATATGAAGTAAACTTCAGGGTTGTTTAGATTTGCTTTATTCTGATAGAGAGAGAGAGTTCCCTCATATGGTTAATAGTTTGCATATCCTTTGACTACTTCTGTATTGGTGTTTTGGTTTTATTTATTTTTGTTCATGGTCTGTATATCTTGGGCAGCTAGGTGGCACAGTGGATAGAGTGGTGGGACTGGAGTCAGGAAGACTTCATGAGTTCAAATCTAGCATCAGGCACTTAGTAGCTGTGTGGCTTTGGGCAAGTCACTTAACCCTGTTGGCCTCAGTTTCCTCATCTGAAAAATGAACTAGAGAAGGAAATGACAAACCATTCTAGTATCTCTGCCAAGAAAACTCCAAATGGGGTTATGAAGAGTCAGACATGACTGAAAATTGACTGAACAACAACAACTATGTATCTTGGATTCAAACCCTTATCACAGTTATTTTATACAAAGCATTTTCCCCAGGTGAGCAATTGTCCCCATACATACACACACACACACACACACACACACACACACACACACACATATCCTAGATATATTCATTTTATTTGTGCAGAAGCTTTCCAATTTCATGTAACCAAAATTATTTCTTTTCTTTTTTGTAATTGTCTTTACCACTTGTTTGTTTAAGAATTTCCTATGGGGCAAACATTATTATCACTATTCCACAGTTGAGAAACTGAGACTCAACAGAAAGGATCTGCCCAAGGTCACACAGTAAGTGAGAAGAAAAACTGGAGCTTGAACTCAATTATTTTAACTCCAAGTTCTAGGACCACATCACTTTACAATTATGCAGCAACCAATGCCAATTCCTAGTAGGATGATTCTCTCCTTTTTCTAAAACACAAATCAGGAGACTAAATAGAGGATCAGGGATGAGTGACAACGATGTTGTATAAAATAATAGCATCATAAACATAATGATAATGACAATTGATCTTTGTATAATGCCAGACAGATGGTACATTATTAATGATGAAAGAAGAATGGGCTTATTTAAAGCCTCCATTTTTTCCCCTGACATGTTTAATAAACTGATCATTAATGGCTCAATTTGCTGATCAGTGCCTATTGAATTCCTTTGCATTTTAATTATGGTTTAATAGTCTCAAGATATTCAATTTCAAATCTTAGAAGTGATTTTCTTGACATGGTTCTTTGGAAAGGGAGGGAAATGTCTAATACATGGGGATAGAGTATTTCACAGGATGCTGTTCTATATGTCTGCCCTTCTTTTCTCCCTCCCTCCTCTCCCACTTCCCAAGTGCTATCCAAGATGGGTTTAAGCAGTAGAATGATCAGTGGATTTGGGGTCAGAGAACCTGGTTTTGAGTCTTGGCTCTGCTACTTACACCACGTGTGACCTTTGGCAACTCCTGACTCTTCTTTGGGCTTCTGATTTTCTTGTGTGTAAAATGAAGGGATTGGATGAGATCATCCCTATTTGTTGTTTGGTCATGCCCAGTTCTCCATGACTCCATATGGGGTTTTCCTGGCAGAGACACCGGAGTGGTTTGCCATTTCCTTCTCCAGCTCATTTTACAGATGAGGAAACTGAGGCAAATGGGGGTAAGTGACATGCCCAGGGTCACACAGCAAATAAATGTCTGAGGCTGGATTTCAACTCATGAAGATGAGTCTTCCTGATTCAAAGCTCCATGCTCTATCCATTCTGCCACCTAGCTGCCCCAATAATCTCTAAGGTCCAATCTAAGTCTTGCAATTTATAAAAATGAGAAGCCTGGGATCAGACAGGATTGCAGTACTGTTTTATTGTTATTTTTATTGTTATTGTTGTTTTTTAAACTCAGGAAACTGAACTCATCCGAAACATTCAAGAACTTCTAAAAAGGACTCTAATGCAGACCGTTAATCAGATAAGGTAAGGCACCTTCTTTCCAATATCCTTATGTTGCTGACCAGTCCCTCAGAAGCAGCCTTAGGTCACTTGGAATTTTATTAGCCTTTCCTCAAAAGAAAGAACATACACATTTCGTGCATGAATCATCAAAGGGATGTGTTGTGTTGGGAGCCATCTAGTACCAGATCTGAGAGCCAGTTGTTAAATTTTCAGTGCAAGCCTTTACCCCTTAGAGGTACAAATCAGGGCATGATTTATTATTTGGTCGATTATCTAGACTTAAGAAAGTTATGGAGAAAATGTTAAAATTTCAGATTAAATGTAAAAGTGTGTTGTTCATACATTTGAGGAATAGGCAGTTGGTTGTATATCAATGAATAGGTATAAAATACTAGCCCCTTGACTTTTTTGATGATTTACAGGACACCCATAGGAAATTCAGAGTTGGGGTGGTTACAGTGCCTGACTGAATAAAGGACGTGGTCATCTTAGTGTATCTCCACTGCTCTCCCTAGAGTAGTAGTCATAGAACACTGGAGTTTTGCATGCAGTATTTTACAACAACCTTGTCTGAGGACTTGGGTTCAAATCCTAACTGCTTCTTCCTACCGTTATAACCTTGGGGAAATTATTTATCTTCCCTAGGCTTCTCTCCATATTTATAAAATGAAGTAGTTTGACAAAATTTCTAAGGTCTGTTCCAAATTTAAATTCAAGGTTCCTATTAGGCAAAAATGATTATTTCCATTTTACAGATGAGAAAACTAGAGTTTAGAGAGAAAGGAAGATCCTACTTCTAGTAAGTGGCAACAGAGCCAGGACTAATTTCAAATCCAAGGGGTTTTTTTTCCCTTTCCATCATGGTTTTTTCCCAAGTGGCCATGGACCAGCAGTATCACATGAATAGGTATCTCACATTTATATGTAAATAATATGATATTAAAAAAGAAACAAAAGAAAGAAAAAATAATGTGATATATACAACACATATGTGGTCACATAGTGCATATGATACTGATATACATATGTCAACATGCATGCATATGCATACACATGTATGCATTATACATACATCCACCAAAATTTGAAGCAAACCCACTATGTCCAACAAGAATATGAGAGCCCATGTTCTTTTATTTCTTGGTTGATACTGACACCTGGTGGATAATATGAAATAAATGTCTCTCTGGAATATTCAGGTTCACATGACCAATATTTTCATAGAGTCCTAGGATCTCAAAACTAGAAGAGCCCTCCCAGAGATCATCTAGTCCAAATTCTTAACCCTAAGTAGGAATCTTTTTTATACAATCCCAGACAGGTGGTCTCCATCTAAACTTTGCTTGGCCATATCTAGTGACTGGAGCTCATTTGTATATTCACTAATGAAAGAATATTACATTAATGTTATTAATTCATATTTATATAGTACTTCCAAGTTACCAGACATTTTTACTACCTGTCAAGTATATAATCAATGCATCTTTATTGATATTTATAGATGAGGAATTAGACTCAGAGAGATTAATTGACTGAAGTGATGGTCACGCAGCTAGTTAATTGTCAGAAAAGCTAGGTCCAAATTCATAGACTTAAGTCCAATTCGTTTTCCATACACCATATTTTTCCCCAAGGGACATAATTATTTATTGCCATAACCAGAATTGGAGCACTAGAACAGATGACCTCATTGGGTCTCTTATCTTACTCTGGGATTCCAGATCTCATGGCTCAGAACTGTAACGAGGGCAAGATTGTCAGGTGCTGGCATATGGGGAAAGGAAGACTTCCTCTCCTAGAAGGTATGCTTCCTTTCCATGTTGGTCCAGAGATCATTTTCCTTATGCTTGGAGTCATATGGCCCTCCACTAGGGTTATAAGGCTCATAGTACAGTATTGAACTTAGATTCTAGATACTTTGGTTCAAATCTTACTTCTGATACTTACTATCTGTGTGACATTGGGCAAGTTACTTAATCTCTATGAACCTCAGTTTCCTCATATGTAAAATGAAGGGTTGGAATAGACAAATGCTGATCCTTTCCAGCTCTGAAATTCTGTGATTCTTTGATTAGATATCTTTTAAGGTCCATTCTGGTTCTAAAACTATGATGCTATGAGGTAAGATGAGCTCTTGGTGATGGAGTTGGGATGATGATTGGTACAAGTTGGTGGAGGAAAGGAAGGAAAGGATCTGTCTTCCCTGTCCATGGGTCAGTTATGGCTTCTGTGTCACTGCCACCCCCAACTCATTTTGCCACAGATGAAAAGATTCCTCATTTTACCTTTGGCCCGTGGTTAGCACTTCAACCCTGGCCCTCAGTGATTTTCCAATCTAGTACTGTGTACCTTCAGTCAAAGCCTGCAGTGTCAGGTATGGTGGTAGCCCTGGGCTCTCAAAGGCCCTGTCATTATAGAGCAAGCTCCTATCAGGGAAGAAATGTTTTAAGTAGGGGTCAGCAACAGACTGTGTGCCCATTCTCCAAGGACCATCCTGGCTAAGTACAGAGAAATTCATCACTAAGGTCGGTCATCAGCTGGTGAACAATTTGGCCACAGGAAGTCATAATGGTTCTCTATATTGAGGGGTTATCTGATTTATTTGGGGGAATATCTACCCTGGAGACAATAACAATAATAACAATAAAAAATGATGTATTCAGGTAAAGTCAAAGCCCACACTGCCCAAATTACACCAAGACAGTTTAGAATTTTCATTGTCTTTTCTGTCCAGGGAGGTACATTTCCTGAGGGCTGGAGGGTGGGATTCTGGAAGCTCCTATGTAAATTCAGGCAGAATCGTCATTCATTCACATGGTATGATTAGGAAGGTGATAGAGGTTGGAAGTGGGAGGGATGCCCCTTTATTTAAAAAGGGACCCTTCTAACTTGATAGTTGGTACCCAACCCTCCATTCTATGGAATAGCTATAACCCCACACCTAACAGGCTTGAGTATGAAAGCAGTTTCAGTATCTCACTAGATCTATGCCACATGCCTTCTTTCGAGGGCCTCCATTTCCTCATCTATAAAATGAGCAGTTTTGGACTAAGTTGTCTCCCAGATCTGTTTCAGCATACAAATCCATGGCCCTATACACTTGTGAAGTATGTCACAGAAATACATATGGGAAAACTAAGGTTTCCAAATAAAATGTCCTGTCTAAGGTCATGTGTTCAGTTCTCCTGACTTACAGCTCATTGGTCTTATGCTATCCTATAACTTTAAGCTGCCCTGGTCTGTCATGTGTGAGTAAATTAAATGTTTAAAACAAGTTTGGGTGATGAAAAGGAAAAATAGAGAATGGGAGGGACCCAGGAGGAAGAACAAATGCCCAGGATGGTGAGAATAGGATGTCATTGACGACAAACTTCAGTCTTCTCTGGGTTTAGAAGTTGGGGTGGTGCATGGGGCATATTTGCTTCAGGGAGCAGGGATCAAGAAAGTTATGCAGTAAGAAAGCCATATGGGATTTGGCTGTTCTAGCTACCCAATTAGCTGATTTGGGGTTGAATCATTTTCTTGACAACCTTACCAACCCATTTATGTAACAACCCATTGATGTAGAACCAGAAGGAGGCCCAGATAAGTAAGGCAATTCACCCAAGGCGGCACATTGAGACATTAGCAGTCACAACTAAGGTTTGGTTATCCAGATACCTGGTGGGCCACTTTGGGCTCTGGTTTCCTATCACTAGTGAGCCACAGAATATCTTGGGCTGGCAAAGTACTAACACTGATGGGCTGTCCTTTGCTCTATGCCTGCCATTCTGAGATTCACAGAATAGCAAAGTAGATCTTTGAAATAGATCTTTTTTGTCTGAGCTGGAGGGTCCTTTAAAGATTATCTAGTCCAACCTGACTATTTTATAAATGTAGAAATTGAAAAACAGAGAGAAGAAGGAAGTTATTCAAGGTCTCACAGCTAGTAATTTCCAGAGCCAAGTTCTTGAACCTGGATGAGTTCAGCATTCCAAGTTTAGCATTGCCTTCACTACCCTGCATCTGTTCCCCTGCAGCAATCTAGGATGGCAATCTTTGGGACTCTTTCAGCCTCTTCCACTCGGCTTTTATGTGATAAATTTAAATTTCAGTGAATTTGAATTTCTTTCCATCAATGTTCATCCTCCTTTCCTTTTAGGTTGAACAGAGACCACAAGGAAATTTGTGAAATGGACTGGTCAGATAAGGTCAAGACCTACAACATCGATGAGATGTGTGCCCGTTACAACAACCAAAGCACCAACATTCAATTCTACCCTCACTCATCCAAGTTTGAAGACAGGTCAGCACCCCTTTGCTTACATGACACCTCATCTTCTGGACAGGACTCAGGGCCATCATTTTCTTTGAATGCTAATATATCAGGCCCAGTGGTACAAGTTGGGGATGGGGGAGAAATAGCCTGGATGTCTAACTTCTTATTCAGGTCAATAGAGTGGAAAAGTTCCTAGTATAACCTATCATTTAATTCCAGTTAGCTTTGGAATGGATTTTTAAGCTTATGTTTGAATATGAGCACACCTGATGTTCAGGAAATTTATATTAACGGTGGTTTTAAATGGAATGATTAATCCATATTGAATATGTGAATATGTGTAGGAGTAAGCATTCATCCTCTTTCTAACCTCACTACTCCTCCACCACCCACTCAGTCAAAAGACTCATCTCCTCTCCCCATACCATTTTTAATATCTGATTTCCAGAGTAATCTTCCTAAATCACAGCCCTTATCATAATATTCCTCCCAACCCACACTCAAAAACTTCGAATGAATGAAAAAAAAAGCAATTATGAAGCACTTACTATGTGTCTACTATATAAAGGCTAAGCTCTCAGACTTCTGGGAGCCAAGATGATGAAGTAAGCAGTAAATTGCTGTATCTTTCCCATATTCACCTCAAAATAACCATAAAATAGACCCAGAACAAATCCTGGCACATGAAGAGCTGCTTAAGGACCTATTACAGTGGTGGGGAAAATGGGAGGGTGGGCAATGAGCATCACTTGAACCTTACTCTCATCAGTATTGGATCAAAGAGGGAATAATACACATAATCAGCTGAATATAGAAATCTATTTTACCTGACAGGGAAGTGGGGGGAGGAGGTAATGAAAGCGGGGATAATTGGACTGACAGAAGGGAGGGCAGATCAGGGGAGGTGGTGGACAGAAGGAAAACACTGGTGAGAAGGGAAAGAGTTAAAGGAGAGAGAGGACAAACAGGAGGAAGAATAGGATGGAGGGAAATACACAGTAATCACAATTGTGAATGTGAATAGGATGAACTCTCCCATAAAATGGACAGCAGAGTAGATGAACACAGAATCCTAAACATGTAGTTTACAAGAAATACACTTGAAGCAGAGAGATACACACACAGAATAAAGGTAAGGGGCTGGAACAGCATTTATTATGCTTCAGCTGAAGTAAAAAAAAAAAGCAGGAGTAGCAATCCTCATCTCAGACAGAGTAAAAAACAAAAATGGATCTAATTAAAAGAGATAAAGAAGGAAATGAAATCTTTCTAAAAGGTACTATAGACAAAGAAGTGATATCAATTCTAATCATAGATGCACTAAGCAGTATAGCATCCAAATTCTTGAAGTAGAAGTTAAGTGATTTAAAGGAAGAAATAGATAACAAAATTATATTAGTGGGGGACCTCAACTGTCCCCTCTAAGAATTTGATAAATACAATCAAAAATAAACAAGAGAGAAACAAAGGCAGTAAATAGAATATTACAAAAGTTAGATATGACAGACTTTTGTAGGAAACTGAATGGGAACAGAAAGAATATATCTTTTTCTCAGTAGCATATGGCACCTACACAAAAATTGAACAAGTAATAGGACACAAAAAAACCTCAAAATCAAATATAAAAAAGGCAAAAATAGGAAGTGTATTCTTTTCAGATCATAATGCAATAAAAATTACTTTCAACAAAGGGCAGTGGAAATCTAGATTAAAAATTAATTAGAAACTAAATAATCTAATCCTAAAGAATAAGTGAGTCAAAGAAGAAATCATAGAAATATTCAATAATTTCATTAAAGAGAATGACAACAGTAAGACAACATACCAAAGTTTATGGGATGTGGCAAAAGCAGTGCTTAGAGGAAATTGTATTTTTCTAAATTCTTACATCAACAAAATGGAAAAAAAAAACAGATCAATGAACCAGGCATGCAACTAAAATAAAACTAGAAAAAGAATAAATTACATATCCTGATTGAGCACCCAATTGGAAATCCTAAAAACCAAAGGTGAGATTAATAAGATTGGAAATTTTTTAAAAAACTACTAAGTTAACAAGTAAATCTAGAAGTTGGTTTCATGAAAAAGCCCATAAGGTAGATAAGCCATTGGTTAATTTAATTTTAAAGAAGAAAACCAAATATCCAGTATCAAAAATGAAAAGGGTGAAATCACCATCAATGAAGAAAAAATTAAAGCAATCATTAGGAAATATTTTGGCCAATTACATGCCAATAAATTTGACGATCTGAGTGAGATGGATGAATATTTACAAAAATATAAATTGCGTAGATTGACAGAACAGGAAGTAGAATGCCTAAATAACCTCATCTTAGAAAAATAAATTGAACAAGCCATTAATGAACTTCCTAGGAAAAAATACCCTAGGCCAGATGGGTTCATGAGTGAATTCCACCAAATATTAAAAGAAGAATTAATTCCAATACTATAGAAGCTATTTTGGAAAATAAGTGAAGTCCTACCAAACTCCTTTTATGACACAAATATGGGGCTGATGTTTAAAACAGGAAGAGCTAAAACAGAGAAAAAAATTATAGACCAATTTCCCTAATGAATATTGATGCAAAAATTTTGAACAAAATACTAGCAAGATGATTACAGCAATAAATCACAAGGATTATACATTATGACCAGGTGGGATTTATACTAGGAATGCAGGGTTGGTTTAACATTAGGAAAACTATCAATATAATTGACCATATCAATAATAAGACTAACAGAAATCATACAATTATCTCAATAGATGCTGGAAAAGCTTTTGACAAAATAGAGCACCTATTCCTATTTAAAAAAAAAACCTGGAGAGAACAGGAATAAAGGGAGTATTCTTCAAAATGATAAGCAGTATCTATCTAAAACTATCAGCAAGCATTTTCTGTAATGGGGACAAGTTAGGAGCCTTCACAATAAAGATTGGGGGGAAGCCAGGATGCCTGTTGTCACCACTATTATTCAATGTAGTACTAAAAATGTTAGCTATAGCAATAAGAGAAGAAAAAAATTGAAGGAATTAGAATAGACAATGAGAAACAAAGCTATCACTCTTTGTACATGATATGATGGTTACTTACAGAACCCTAGAGCATCAACTAAAAAATTACTTGAAATAATTAACAACTTTAGCAAAGTTGCAGGATATAAGATAAACCCACATAAATCATCAGCATTTCTTTATACAACCAATAAAACCCAGCAGCAAGTGATAGAATTATGAACAATATAAAATACTTAGGAGTCTACCTGCCAAGACAAACTCAGAAACTATATGAACACAATTACAAAGCACTTTTCACACAAATAAAGCAAATCTAAACAATTGGAAGAATATCAATTGCTCATGGGTAGATTGAACTAATATAATACAAATGACAATTCTGCCTAAACTAATTTACCTATTCAATGTCATAACAAACTACCAAAAATTATTTTATAGGGCTAGAAAAAATTATAGCAAAATTCATCTGGAAGAAGAAAAAGTCAAGAATATCAGGGGAATTAAAGAAAAATAAATACAAAGGAAAGTGATCTAGCAACACCAGATCCTAAGCTATATTATAATGCAGTAATCATCAAAGCTATCTGGTACTGGCTAAGAAATAGAGTGGTAGATCAGTGGAATAGATTAGGTATATGAGACACAAGAGTCAATGACCACAGTAACCCAACATGATAAACCCAAAGACCCCATCTTTTGGGATAAGAATTCACTATTTGACAAAAACTGCTGGGAAAGCTGGAAAACAATAGGACACAAACTAGGTATAGACCGACATCTCACATCATATACCAAGATGAGGTCAAAATGGATGCATGATTTAGACATAAAAGGTGACACCATAAGCAAATCAGAAGAGCAAGAAATAGTCTACCTGTCAGATCTATGGGGAGGAGAAGGATTCATGACCAAGTGAGATAGAGAGCATTACAAAATATAAAATGCATAATTTTTATTATATTAAATTTAAAAGCTTTTATACAAAGAAAACCAATGCAACTAAGATTAGAAGAAAAGCAGAAAGCTGGCAAACAATCTTTATAGCAAATGTCTCTGATAAAGGCCTCATTTTTCAAATATATAGATAACTGAGTCAAATGTATAAGAATACAAGGCATTAACCAATTGATAGGTGGTCAAAGGATATGAATAGGCAGTTTTCAGACAAAGAAATCAAAGCTATCTATAGGTGTATGAAAAAGTGTTTCAAATCACTTTTGATTAGAGAAATGCAAATTAAACATACCACCTCACACCTATCAGATTGGCTAATATGACAAAAAAGGAAAATGATAAATGTTGGAGATTAAGTGGGAAAATTGGGACACTGGTGATTGTTGATGGAGTTGTGAATTGATCCAACTATTCTGGAGAAAAAATTGGAAGTATGCCCAAAAAAGCAACCAAACTGTACATACCCTTTTATCCAGCAATGTCACTACTGGGTCTGTATCTCAAAGAGATCATACAAAAAGGAAAAGAACCTACAGGTGCAAAAATATTTATAACAGCCCTTTTTGTGTTGGCAAAATATTAGAAATTGAGGGGATGCCCATCAGTTGGGGAATGGCCGAACAAGTTGTGGTATATGAATGTAATGGAATGCTGTTGTGCAATAAGAAATGGTGAACAGACATTTGAGTGAATCCCGGAAAGACCTATACAAACTGATGCAAAGTGAAATGAGCAGAACTAGGAAAACATTTTATACAGTATCAGTAACATTGTGTGATGATCGACCAAGAATGACTCTGCTCTTCACAACAACACAATCATCCAAGGCCAATAGAAAGGACTCACGAAGGAAAATGCTATCCATATCCAGATGAAGAACTAATGGACTCTGAATTCAGATTGAAGCATACTTTCCCCCCACTTATTTTAGTCTTTCTTGCATTTTTTTAATGTTTCTTCTTTTATAACTGTGACTAACATGGAAATTATTTTTACATGATAGCATATGTATAAACTTTACCAAACTGCCACTAGGGGAGGGAGGGAGGGAGGGAGA